CACGCAGGCAGCAGAGGAGCGCCCTGGTTCAGCTGTGCAGCCTCACCTAGCACAGGCCCAACTCACCTTGGGTGTAGATCTGCTCCAGAACCGCCAGCTTTAGCGCTTACAGTACTGACAGCTTCATGGAAAGCTGTGTTCTGGTTTTGAAGACCAGAAGCCTTCTCCCTACTTTGCTCAGTCCTGCAAGGATAAGTTGATGCAGCTCTGCAAAGGTTGTCTTCTGTAAAGAACATAACTGTCTCCGTGTCCTTTCCCTAGATAGTGGGCACATAAAGGAAGTCATCGTTGCGGGAGAGCATGTTTTTGAAAACCCCAATGGCAGCGCTGATGGGGACGTCGCCGAAGAGCCAGGGAATCCTGACGATCAGGAGCAGGATCTTTCCACAGAACTGATCAAGGTCAAGCTTCTCGTTAATAAGGACGGACGATACGTGTGCGAGTTGTGCCAGAAGACATTTAAAACAGTAAGTGCAGCTTTGCCTGCGTTCTGGTTAGCAAGCTGGTTAGGTTGGTGTTATCAAGGTGTGTGTTTTACTGCATGCTGTGCTTTCAGAAGCAGCGCTTTGATTCCCAAAGGAGTATTTATGCTTTATGGCTGAATTCAAACTCTTCAGCTATTTGGAACGTGCTTTAAAATAAACTCTTCCCCTAGGCCAGCATCCTCAAGGCTCACATGATCACTCACAGCAGCAGGAAGGACTACGAATGCAAACTCTGTGGAACGTCCTTTAGGACAAAAGGGTCTCTGATTCGACACCATCGGCGTCACACGGGTAAGGCAGTCTCCGAAATGGGGGCTCCCTGCTGCTGGCGTGCGGCTCTCGAGCTCGCGGGCAGTGGCACGTGCTGCTGCTTTCCCTGTTGCTGAGCTGGGAACATCAGCTGCGGGGCCGGAGTGCTGCGGGCAGGGCACAGTCCGCTTGTTCCGAAAGCCGGACCACCTTCCCATGGAAGTCCACGAGATGGAACGAGCACCCGCTGTGGTTCACGTGGGACAATGCTGATTCCTGCCCTTTCCAGATGAACGACCTTACAAATGCAAGAAATGCGGGAAAAGTTTCCGGGAATCGGGAGCGTTGACTCGGCATCTGAAATCTCTGACACCCTGCACCGAAAAAATTCGCTTCAACGTGAACAAAGAAATAGTAGTGAACAAAGATGATTTGCCTGCAGGTCAGTGATGCTGTAAATCTGTGCCTTGTGCCTGAAAAAACCACGGGTGTTCCTGTGCTAGAGCTATAAATTATTTCTTGTTTAAAGAAAAAGTATTGCTATGGTATTGAGTATTGATTGATCTTTCATGGTATTCTGGTGTTTCGTGATTTCATGTTTTCTGGTTTTGTTCTTTCATACAGAGAAAGGCATTTTTGTATACAGATCTTAGCTATCACCTTGAAGTGGATGTACCCAAACATAGTTTTTGAGGGATGTCTGAAAATCTGGTACAAAGATGGTCTTGCCAGGCTACTGATCTTTTGTTGTTGTTGGATAATACGAAGCCCATTTAGAAAATAAAACATGTCCCTGTTTAGAGCGCTGCTCTGTGGAAGCAGAGCAATTGTTCTGCCATGCTCCTGTTCCAAGACACGTTTTTGTAGGGCACAGCAAATTGCTGATGGGTTGGAATTGGCCAAATGATTCACTCTGCTGCTTTTCTTAAAGGATCCTGTAGTTCAAACACAGACACAGTTTCATCGATTGCGAGTGAATCGATGGAGTCCCCACCTGTGATTCACCTAGTGACAGACGCAAAAGGCAACGTTCTCCATGAAGTTCATGTCCAAATGCAGGAGCTTCCTGTTGTTGACGCAAAAACTCTGGACCAAGATGTGAGTGTCACTTCTCCCAAATACCCTTTATGCATTTTACACAAATACATATTTTGAAATACTTCATGAGCAATACTTCTTTATGTAGCTATAATAAACATGTGCTGAAAATAAATAATTAAATAGCTTCCTCTTTCATGAGAAAACTTAGGCAGCAGACTGCTGGCTCTGACTGTTCCTGGCAATCTGCTGATAATGATACTCAGCAGTCTGTATAGGATGCAGGAGGAATGCGAAGAGGTTTCCACCACGTACTCAGTGATGTTTAAGTTGAAGGAGTGGTTTTTTGCTTGACCATGCACTTATACAAGGCTCTATGGTAGGAGCAAAGAGTTATCCCTTGAGCTACGTGTTTTCAGACTATAGATTTGCTTTGTCTTCCTCTCCCGTCCAAGCTTATTCCCTTGTTCCTCTTATCCTGTATCACAGCATTGATCATCTTGGTGATAATTGCTGTCATAACGGGAAGGTTGTTTTTGAATTTGCCCTTCTCACCGTTGGGCTGTTGAATTTTTTAGGCGCCACCTCCCGAGGAGCAGCCGTGCGAGGGGGAAGTGCACAGTGAGAACCTGCTGCGGCAGGCCATGAGGAACTCCGGGCTCGTGGTGGAGAGAGTGGCTGTGGAAGACCTGCCAAAGCCAGAGGAACCTGCTGGGGCTGCTGCAGAGGAACTAGAAAACGAAGCGATGGAAGCAGAGGAGGAGCCGTGTGGGGAGCAGTGCGTTGAAACGGAGCAGCCAGAGTCTGTACGTTTGTACTTCGCTGTGTAACTAGGTTAACTGTTTGTTATCTTCTGCGCCTGCACTTGATGGTGAAGAGCTGTGTTAGTCTCTTGACCCTGCCCTTCTCCCCAGCGCATCCCTCCCTCTGCCTGCATCCGTGCCAAGGAGGAGGGCATTTTCAGTCATGTTTTCCAAATGGGCTGAGAGTGTCATGTTATTGCTCCCTCTCCTATTCGATAACATAGGTGGCTTTCTTGTCTAAGCCTGTATATTTAATGGGAATTTGACTAGGGACACCACAGCACAAAAACCACTTATCTTGTACTTTTCTCCCCCCAATAGACAGATGCAGAAAGAACAAATGGATGCAAAAGTTACAGCTGCCCTCACTGTAGCGAAGTCTTCAGTGAAGCTACAGCCCTTGAAACGCACATCAAAGGACACTTAGGTGAGGTCCTGCTGTCTAAGCCGCGCTCGCTCCTCCCGTGCTCCCAAACGCAGTACAGCTTCCCTTGCCTCCGTGTCTCCACTAGGAGCACTCCAGCCACGCAAATTCAGTAGGTGCTTAACACACAAATGTTGAGAAGGTAAGAGCAGTTGGCTTGTGTTAAGCTCAAAGGAAATATAAAGGAAGGAAAATATAAAGAAAATAGAGGCTGGAACAGCTCTTTGAAAGGTGCTAAAGGACACTGAGGTGATTTCATTTTGGAATGCTTGGGACAATGGCCACATGCTCACAGCTCAAAACGTGCATCACTTCCTTCCTCCTCCACATTAGGATCCTGCAAGAGTTTTGTTCTCCTGGCACGTACTGTATAGTCACCTGGAAAGGGCTTAGCTGCATAAGAGGGCAAGGCATTTGGCAAAGGGACAAGCTTTCTCCCTGCCTTCTGCTTGTGCTGAGAGAAGAGCCTCTATGACCTCTTCAGCCATCAGTTAGCTGTGATCTTTACAGACAGCAACACCAGGAACAGGCTTAAGACAAGCTTTAATTCCTGTAAGACCTGAGGGGAATAATAGCAACATTGTCATTAGCCTGATCTATCTCACCTCAGCTGCTGCTACGGATGGGTAAAATCGTAAATTGAGTGCTTACTGCTCAGTGACAAGGTATTTCAGTTCCTCTCATGTTGAGTGGTGCCACTTGGGTGCAGCAACGACAGCCGTTTCTTGCTTTGATATGCATTAACCATATGCTGTATTTTCTCTCTCCAGATAACAAGCCTTTTAAGTGTGAGAAGTGTGGCAAAGAGTTCACAAAAGGCTATTTGTTAAAAAAGCACCAAGAAGTGCACGTGAACGAGTGGCGTTTCCGCTGCGGGGAGTGTGGCAAGCTCTACAAGACCATCGCTCATGTCAAGGGGCACCACAGGGTGCATTCTGACGAGCGGCCGTACCCCTGTCCCAAGTGTGGCAAGCGCTACAAGACAAAGGTGTGTCCCTGCCCAAGTGAGCTCCCCTCAGCTGCCTCCTTTCCACAGCTCTGCCTGCTGCATGGGAGCAGGCTCTGCTCTTGAAAAAATAAATGCCCCAGTTTACTTGCCATTGATAAGGGCAGAAGCTCCAGAAGATGCTTTTGTTTTAGTGAGGAAAAGAGGAAGAATATTAATACATCTTTAAATCGGAGGGGAAAATGTTCCTCCATATGAAGAAAATTACATAAAAATAACGCAAAAGCATCTTGATCACACTGTAGATGAAAAGGAGTCCTCAGAGATGCTGACTGTCACCCCGGGAGCTAGAACGCTTCCCGAGTCTGTCGTTCCCTTTAGCTGCTCTTCCGTTGCATGTCTCCGCAGAACGCGCAGCAAGTTCACTACCGTACACACCTGGAAGACAAACCCTACGTGTGCCAGTACTGCAGCCGGGGCTTCCGCGAGAAGGGCTCGCTGGTCCGGCACATCCGCCACCACACGGGCGAGAAGCCCTTCAAGTGCTACAAGTGTGGCCGAGGCTTCGCCGAACACGGCACGCTCAACAGGCACCTCAAGACCAAAGGTGGGAGATGGCAGCGTCTGTGCTTGTGTTTCGCTTTGTACAAGCTGATTTTGTCTGAATCAGCAGCGTGAGATGCTTAGAAAAGGTCTATTGGCCTCCATCAATGGCCTTTTGTTTCCCTTCCTTTAGTCGAGTACTTCTTGAAATTGCCCTGTAGAGGTGCATGGGCCTCTGCTAGACCATTATTTGGCCTGTGGTGGTAGGCTTAGAGACTCTATAACTGCTGGTCATTTGGCAGTGTCATTCTGATAAAGAGATCTCATTAGTGCTGTCCAGTATTTGACAGGTACTCCTGATATCTGATTTGAATACAAAAAAAAAAAAAAGAAAAAAAAAAGAAAAAAACCTTGTTTTTCTGGCATTTTGGGAATACCATTCAGGTGGCTGCCTGCTTGCTTTGAAGGAGGTTAAAGAAGTGATGGTGCCTGAGGAGAGTCAGTCAGCTGACAACTTAGCTGCCACGGTCATTTCTGAAGATCCTCATACAGTTTTGGTGGAATTCTCGTCGGTGGTGGCAGACACTCAGGAGTACATCATCGAGGTAAGAAGTAGGGCAGAGAGTTGGGGTGTTTTGTTCATTAAAAGCTGCACGGGGGTGCACGCTCCTCACCTGGGCTTCTGGGAGAAGGTAAAATAGGATCTAATCCGTGCCATCCTTGCCTGTGGGTAATATATATAATATATAGGGGGGTATGTACTGGAAAACAGGAAGACTTTTGTAGAAGATCTTACTTGCCTTATATCCTGGAAGTAAAAGATTTTTTATAATCTAAAAAAAGGAATCATATTTTGTATTTCAAGACTGCTACTGAAGACATGGAGACCAGTGAAGCTGCTGAAATAATAGAGGGAACAAGACACGAGGTAAAGCAGACACATAAACTACTCTTTTGGGGTCCTCTCTACAGATGAAACGAATTGCTTTTAGTATCTGAAAGTCATGCTGAATAAACCCAGCCTCAAGTAATTAGCTGACCCACACCTGTAATTGTGCAAACCTGTCGCTGTAGAAACAATCTGACCATCCTGCATTTTACCAGAGCGGTGGCCCCATTTCCTCTCAGCAGTGGTGGCCAGTAATTGCATGGTGCTAATACCCCAGAGGCTGCCTGCCAGGTAACCCAACTTTGTGCAATGATTCCCTAAAGAAATCAGCACAGCTGTTGCAACACCGGAGTGTGGCTGCTTTCCTGAGCTGCGGTTCATCAGGTTTGAACATCTGGGTGGGCACTGTCACAGCGTCGCTGTAAAACAAAGTCTGACTTAGTGGAACAAATACCCCCCTGACAAAACATATTAAGTGACAAAGAGGTACAACCTGTTCTGGGACTGTCTCGGGCTGATAACGAGAGCTGCACTGAATGACTTGCCTAAGCTGGAATTAAATGCTGCTTTTTTTACTGCGCTGTTTGTCATTGTAGCTCTTTAAACCTATGATAATTTTCTGTACTTCTAATACGTTGCAACAAATAGTGAAATAACCCAGCCTCTTTTTCTCCGAGCGTAGGTTGACAGCCACATTATGAAGGTTGTGCAACAAATAGTAAATCAAGCCAACTCCGGTCACCAGATCATTGTACAGAACGTGACAGTGGCAGAAAACTCGGAGGGAAGCGCGGACGCCGCGGACACCATCACCATCGCCACCCCGGAAAGCCTCACGGAGCAGGTCGCGATGACGCTGGCCTCCGCCATCGGCGAGGGAGCCGTGCTCACCACAGAGGGTGGCATCGAGGCGCAGGAGGCCACAGTGACAATGGTTGCGTCGGAAGACATCGAAATAATGGAGCACGCGGGAGAGTTTGTGATCGCCTCCCAGGAGGGCGAGGTGGAGGTGCAGACTGTGATTGTCTGACGAGCAGCACGCGCTCGGGGACACCCTCACAGAATTATGGTTTTCTCCAGTTTGGGGAATTTGATCAGTCCTAAGTTTGACGTTACAGTTTTTCACAGCGCAAGGGAGTGGATGTCCCTATAGCTAAGTGACTTAGCAGGACGGTAAGAGCCTGAAGTGTTTTCTGTTTAACATGGAATAACAGTAGCTACAAGCATCTGCATGGTGATACTGTGGGAGTGACTGATAAATCATATTTGACAGTCTGACCAGTATTTCATATGGATGCCTCAAATAAAGGACTGTCCTTGGCAAAGCACTTACCTCTGAGCACAGGACAGTAGTGTCCTGGTGGTTAAAAGAATGCAGCAAGTGAAGCCAGGACGTTGTGTCTCATACGAGACTATGCTAACTTAATCATATGCATTGAAACAAGAAAACCAAACCTGAGGACTTCTGGTGTGAACTCACTGACACCTGAAGCCTTTCCTGCCTTTACCCTCACTACTTTCGCCCTCCTAAGGCATGGTACTGCAGATCTTTGTGGGTTTGTTTTTTTGCCAGCTAGCCTTATGTACTGGTTTACAAACGAATGCATCATTGTACCCTTGCAATACCATGCGGGCTGCTCTGAGAGCTAGCCTGGTGGTGTGTAAAGCCATACTGTACATGAATTTTTTTTTTTTTTAAATCATATACAGATTTTTAATTGTCTACAGCTGTAGAATTGTGTACAGATTTGGCATGTAAATAAATGCATTTATAAAAAATAAAGTTATTTAAAGTTCTTATATTTTTCTATTTTCTACTCTATTGAGTATGACCCAGAGAATCATTCCTAGAAGGAGAAGAGAAGGGGGCCACTTAACATTGTGCTTAATTAGAGGGCAAGTCAAGTACATGCAGCTTTTCACAAGACCCCCACAACTGTCTACGCTCCAGAGAACTGTACAGTCATCTGTAGTGAAAGTCAGAGGGGTTTCAGAAGGTATAGACCTGATTAACTTGTCTTCCATCCTCAAGGTGGAGGGTGTTCTTGAGGCCCACGGCAAGGTGTTTTTTGGAGGCCACTTGGCAAGGGCAGCACAGGATGCAAAGGCTGCATTACCCTTCTGCTTTCGAAGGGGCCTGGCCAGTGCTTGCAACAGGCAGCCTTAGGAAAAAGCCTTGTTTTTGCCTACTGCAAAGCTGCTAAAATACAAAGAGATACCTGAGAAGCTGCTGCATTTCTTACTGTGAAGAGAGGCTAAACAATGGAATGAAGATGAGGAATGCCAGAAGGATCACATCTGTAATCTGCCGGGATTATGTATCTGCACAGTTACTCCTCAGGATGCTGAAATTGTCCCAAGTCTACCATTTTAGTGGTTTTGCTGAGCTGAAATGGAATCTTATTTTGGAAGAGCTGAATATGGATGTCAAAAAGATTTAGCAGATCTACTATTTTCCTTTCTGAAATCAAGGTGTTCTAGTTAGAATTCAAAGTAAAACAACATAGATTCCACAGGCGAGGATTCCTGCCAGTAATCATGTTCCTTCACTTAAACACTTATTCTACACTTTGCTAACAGTAATAGATTAATCATTTGCAAAATGTAGCAGTACTTACAAAAAGATGAAACATTTCTTCTTTTCTTTGTTAGTTCTTCCCTTGTTAGTGCAGACACAGAAAAAAAAAATCACTTCAGTAAGCTGGAAACCTCTTTCTCCATGCCAGCAAATCCACTGGAAGTCCCTCCTCTACCAAGGAAACAGGACTGATCTTAACAGCAGAGATCTCCCCAAAACCCCAGGATTAAGTATTTTAAACAGCTGCTCTTCTGAGGCAATCAGAATATTGCAGTCAGCTGTGAGCTGTTTCCTGCAGGGGAAACAAGATGTGAGTGACAAATCAGTGCATTCCACATTGCCCGTTTCCTCCTGTGGGACCCAACTCCATCCCTGGAAGCCCTGCTGCAGGAATTGCCCAACTATGATAAGCCAGGATAACCTAGGAGCCCATTTTGCCTGTTATGCAGTGGCATGTATCACGCAGTTCACAAACATTAACCACAAAAATAAAAGCATTTAGAAAGAGTTCCTAGGTGAGCCTAGCAGCACAGCTTGCTCCCGTGTGGCAGCTGCCTCCGAGGTCACTGTCACCGTCACTCTGGGTAGTGCTGCAGGTAAATCTGCAAGCACCCTACACTTAAGAGGACTAGTCAGCTTTAGGAAAATGCACAATCCATTTATTCTTCATCCTTAATTGAAATACAATGATTTTTCTTTTTTACAAAAATCTTTTGTGACCACAGTTTGCTACTGAAATAGTCATTTTAGAAAAAAAATAAAAAAGTAAAAAAAAGGCACATTTAAAGAGTAATATCTTCATGTTCTCTTCTTTTTCCCCAATATTGTAGGAGGCTTAAAGATTTCCTTTAAATTCATCCAGATTCCGTTAGAATAAATATTTTTGTAGATAACTGGCCTGTCCCCAGGCTGCGATGGTAGATGGTGAGAACACCCAAATCTTCTCGATTTATACCATTCGTTGGATGTTTGGTTGGTTAGGGCCAAGTACAGATTGAAACAGCAGTATGCTCCCAGCACAAGAGTGAGAAGAATAACAAACCCAAGCATGAAGACAATCCTAGGGAAAGTCAAGAAAAAGTGCTGCAAAGAAAGAAAATAACAGTTAAAAAGTTGGAGCACTAAATCAGATGGGGCCTAAGAGCCGCTGTGACAGGTCATCTGAAATGAGAGTATGTACATATTTGTCTCCATGCAGCCCATCAGAAAATGCTAAGATTAGCCTTTTTTGAGCTAAGAACTCAGAGAGCATATACTTACCTGAATGAGAAACAGAATCTCAACACTCTGCTCTTGTCCTTGGTCGTCAATGTAACTTGCATGCATCACATTTGACAGCAGCACCACTTGGATGAAAAATGCCACTGTGATGAGCGCAATGCTCGCAGCCATGGCAGTCAGTGTAAACAGGTAAAGGAAGAAATACTTCGTATTGAAGGCACCTATGCAGTTGTTGACCCACACACAGTGGTGATCAAAACGATGTACACAGATGTTACATAAACCTGATGGAAAGTGAGTGACGAGATAGCTCAGCTATTTGGCTTTTGGGTAATCCATATAATTTTTACCCCATATAGTTCAGTTTTTCATCCAAGAAAAAGAGAAATATCATCATGTTTTACTTATTATAATGGTAGCTCTCAATCACATATCACCAAAAACAAACCCAGACCACTAACTGCTCTGAAGTTAATTTCCTCTCCCATTCATCAACCATGACCCCAGCTCAAGCATTTGGGTTTCTCTGGAAGCAGTGCCTATCAAAGCGTATGGAAGGTAGAGACTGCACCTCCCTGTTTAAGTTATGAGGATAACAGCAAATTTTGTAAGACAGGAACAAAATCCTGAACTCTCAGGAGGTGTCAACTTTCTGTTTAACCTTTAAACGCTACTCCTGACCCAAAAGGACACCCTCAGAACTAGCAGTCTCTGTGACAGTAATTTGAAGAACAAGTCCCATGGACAGGCAACGGGCAGCAGTGATCTGGGGCCCTCCTGACAATGAACAAAACAGTCCATTCTGCGTCAGCAGTCGGTTGTGTAAGAGGACACATGCGTGAACTACAGCTGCTCGTGGAAAGTTAATTCCCCAAAGTATTATTACTATTACACTGGTCCAAGAAATTAAGGTTCTTACCACAATGTTTTGATCTGGCTGGTTTCTCCATGTTGCATGTAGGGCACACGATACCCTTCTGAAACAAGACAGCATCATACGCATAAATCTTGACCAATGATGGGTGATTTGATTTGGTTATTGTACCTGTGAAAGAAACAGAACCGTGATAGGAGACTCCTTCCACAAAAACAAAACAAAACAAACAAACAAAAAAAACCACAAGAAAACAAGCAAGCATTTGGCACTGGTAATGTTTCTTAGACTGCATTTTCAAACGGGTGCAACGCACAACCAGGGCAGCTTACCAGGATCGGCCCGAGAGCACAGCATGAAGAACCCCACGTTCACAGGCAGCAGCAGGAAGGGCAGCAGCAGGAGAGGCATGGGAATCTCCAGCTCCCAGCAGTAGCCAAACACTTCCCATGTGTATTCACCATAAACTGCCGCTTGCAAGGCTATATGCAGGACGACAAACAAACAGCTTCTGTAACAGGAAGGCGACAGTGTATTTAATACTCATCCCCAAGAGTGACGGATCAAGTGCATTTCACAGCGACCAGCAGAGACTTTCAAATGCAAGGGAACGTCTCTGTTGGTTTTCAGGCCAGCACAGACTGCCTGTTAATAGCAGGATAGATAGGAATAGATAATTCCTATCTCTTCAGCCAACTGCTTCTCTGTCCCCTTTACCAACATTATAGCCCTCTAACTCTTCCAGCTAAAGTCATGTCTATTATTGGTTTGCTCTTTGAATCTTTTTCCATCAGGCAGTAAGTGCAAAGTCTGCTAATCCCTTTGTGCCGCCCAAAGATGCCACAGCAATAGGTCATGCAACATTCTGCCAGAAGACATTTGCTTTGTGCTGCTCTGAAAGAAAAACAAACAAACAAACAAAAAAAACCCCACTAAAAGGCAACTTTAAAAAACAGGAACAATAATCCTTTCAGCAGCCACTACACAACGGGGCGTGGAGGGAGCTCGGCAACGGAGAACAACTCCAACCTGTGAACAGACCACAGCTTCTACCAGGCAAGCTACAGGAATGTTTGGCATGGGATACATCAGACTGAACAGCAGCCTCCAGCAGCCCTGCATAGAGGTGCTTGGATGAACCACACTGAGCAGAGCAGGGTTCACTCATCACAGTTCTCTGCATTAGAATCAGTTGGACAGGCACCAATATTACCAGCTTTCAAGAACCAGCAATGTGCATTTTTGTACAGCCTGCCCTCTGTCACAGAACTCCCCTCTGCTGCTCTCTCTGCTTTTTGATTGCATGCATCATTCCTGCATGCAATCCCGTCCTCCTCTGCACTGCAGGATTACACCAGACACGCACTGCACTCCTGCTCGAGCCGAACGGAGGAGGAGAGGAAACCTTTGACAGTAGAAGCAGAAGAAGCCTACTCCCAGAAACATTAGCCAAAAATAACATCAAGAGGTTAAAAAAAGTGAATTACCGTGTGTGGAAGAGCCTGTGAAGCACCTTCTGTGCCATTCTTTGAAGCTCTGTGGGGATTACACATGACAGCACCTGCAGCAAACAAAAACACTGTGTTATCTGAATTGCACACCATTTCCTACTTGTGAAAAATTCAAAGAAAAAATACAAGCCACCTAATCCCTCATATCACTATTCTCTATCACTGCGGAAGCAACTCATCCTCAGGGGCACACGAGCTCCTAAGGATACAGACAAGCATCTTGCTGGGATTTTCCAAATGGGAGTGAGGTGCTAATACATTCTCATTAGTCCAACAGGCACAAACAAATTCATCTGGCTTAATGTGTGAAAGTTATAAGAAGCTTATATCAGGTTACAGACTGGGCAACTGGCTTAGCAGGGGATAGAAGCAAGTGATTTCTAAACTACAATAAAAACATCTGACAGATGGAGATAGGCCCAGGGAGAAAGCCTGTGATTCCCCCAGCAAAAACCAGCACTTCCCTCTAGTTTGAACACTATCCAGTCTGACAGCTGCTCCCTGTCTAATTGACAGTTCAAAAACAGCTATTCACAATGAAGATGAAAACTGCCCGTCTTCATCTGGTGAGGCTCTTGGCAGCAGCCTGCACCGGTGGAACTGTGTAGCTCTGCTGCTCAGAAGATGGCAAATCTCTATAGCAACACTCTGCTCCACCAGCAGCTGGCTCCATTTCCAGGAGATGTGTAAAGCAAATGTGTGGTCTGAGCATTTCAGCTTAGATGGGACAGACCAAAAGGCAAAAAGCCTGCGTGGCTTTGGGAAGACGTTACATGTTTTTCAAGTGCTGTGCCTTAGATCAGCGGTTAAAGCTACAGATCTTTATAAAAAGAGGTTATGTACTGCCGTAGGAGGCACATTAGTCACAACTAGACAGAAAAGCAACACACTATGGAGCTGGTGAATTCAAATTTAAATTAACTGTGTGTTAATCACAGTGTAGCACTACATGCAAAAACTGAAACAGCCGCTATTCCCCTGCATACCCCTGCAGTAAGCCTCTGTATTTCAGACATCCCTTCCACCAAAGCAAAAGGCTCTTACATATGATCTGTGCTTGCAATGATTATACAACTACAAAGATATGAAGAAGAAAAAAACTACATCATGAATATCCATGTCGCTCTAGGGAATCACTGGCAGAGGAGAAAGCAGGGCAGTGGGATGGAAGGTGACTCGTCGGAGAGCTAGAAACACCTGTGGTCTAAGGTTATTTGGTGTACTGCTCACAATAAATACCTTAAAGGACCTTAAAATAATGCAAACAACTGCAACAAACTTCCAGGCTTATCCACTTCATTAATTAGTAGAGAGAATTTGGATTCTCTCTATACTTTAATGACTTCATGCATACAAGCATCAGTTATATGTCTTTAGATAGTGACTTTTACATCATAGTAGAATTTTAATAGCTAATTGTTACACATTTCATATAAATACCTCTTAAGTAAGAAAATAACAATAATTTCTTTACCCAGCGATCTAAGTGCCTATAAAAAAAAAAAGGAAAATATAATACTAATAGTAAAAATGAGTGTCTACAAAGAGTTATATAACTAAATATTACTACAAGTACTGTTCCAACTTACATAATTGCTTATCCTTTCCCTGCCTCGAGCGCCTCACTTTTGCAGCATAATTTTAGCATCCTGAGGAATTCTGCCGTAACTATTACCCTGTTGTTACTGCAGGCAGGCAGCTGGGTGCATCCCAAGCAGGACACCCTGAGCAGGACGCCCTGAGCAGGACGCCCTGAGCAGGACACCTCGAGCAGGACACCCCGAGCAGGACAACCCGAGCAGGACAACCCGAGCAGGACATCCCGAGCAGGACATCCCCGAGCAGGACGCCCCGAGCAGGACAACCCGAGCAGGACAACCCGAGCAGGACGCCCCGAGCAGGACTCCCCGAGCAGGACATCCCGAGCAGGACAACCCGAGCAGGACATCCCGAGCAGGACATCCCCGAGCAGGACGCCCCGAGCAGGACATCCCCGAGCAGGACACCCTGAGCAGGACATCCCCGAGCAGGACACCCCGAGCAGGACAACCCGAGCAGGACAACCCGAGCAGGACATCCCCGAGCAGGACAACCCGAGCAGGACACCCCGAGCAGGACACCCCCGAGCAGGACACCTCGAGCAGGACACCCCCGAGCAGGACATCCCGAGCAGGACACCCCGAGCAGGACACCCCCGAGCAGGACACCCCCGAGCAGGACGCCCCGAGCAGGACACCTCGAGCAGGACATCCCTGAGCAGGACACCCCGAGCAGGACGCCCTGAGCAGGACAACCCGAGCAGGACATCCCTGAGCAGGACACCCCC